ATGTTAATCTCACAATTTGATTGATTGATATGCGGCAAAGGTTACAAGCAAAAAATTGAATCCCTGGAAAAGCTTGGAAATCATCTGCAGCAATGCATCAAATATCACATTATGCCGACGAAAAGTTTACAAGGGATCCGTACTTTTTCCCACTGCGTATGTGTCGATCCGTCTTATCTGATCTTTGAGATAATGAGATTATGAGATTATGAGATTATAAGAATACGAAAAGTTTCGGCTGCAATGTGTGAGAAAGTGGTATGATATTTCTAACAAAGGAATAATCATGGAATAATGAACATTCAATACAAGCAGCAAAGAGCTTCGGCAGAAAGTCGATCGAGGTATCAAGGGCTCGTAAGTATTGTAATGTAGCATCGGGATTCCTTACTGATTGTAGCCAAGGCATAGTTGGATATGGCCGAGTTAATATAAGAAGTAGGAGTCTAACTCGTCTGCTTCGTCTGCTTCGTCTGCTTCGTCTGCTTCGTCTGCTTCGTCTGCTTCGTCTGCCTCGTCTGTTTACTAGGGATGATACCTACCTAGTGGGCATAGGCATGTTTGACTATTGATGTCGGAGGTGTTGACTAGAGCGATGAAGTGAGCTTGCGTATAATTGATGATAGCTCCTTACTGTACTGTATTATATATATCTATCACATGGTACCTGCCTTCTTTATCAGCTCATACCGATCGAGAATTATAAATTAATATTATCGCCTTCTTTTCCCCTCCCCTCAGCCAGCACAGACACTATGTTCAGTAGTTGATGAATGGTGGATGGTGGATGGTGGATGATGGATGATGGATGATGGATGATGGATGCATTGACTGCTATTTGGTAGCCAAATTAATTCCTCTGGCGGGGTAAAATTCGGCTGATCTGACAAAGAAAAGAGTGATTTTCTCTTTTATGTCTTTTCTCTTTCCTTCGCTCTTCAGTCTTCACACCCTTCATCTATTATCCACCAGATCCACTCCACTCTGCTTACCTAACCAGGTACGAGATAAACACTCCAAATATACTTCACAATACTTCGCACATTGACCATCAATCATCCAATCACGTGACCCAACATAAAACATAAGCCTAGATGGATGTCACACTTCAGCTGTCACTGTGCCCCCCAAACGTTGATGAGAGTTATTATGCTTGTGATTTCCAAAGTCTAATAACTATAACTACCTACAACCTCACATCATCTACAACAATCATATTAAATCAACCACAATATGCTCTTCACCTCAAACTCAGGTTCAAACATTAAAAAGGTATCTTGTTGTTACACTTAAGTTTTGTACTCACAGGCTTCTTCCTTGTTGGAAAGCTTGTTTTGATCAAAAAAGATTGGGTGTTTCTCGACCTTATCATTTTGGCACTGACGAAATACTGCCTCACCAAGTGTTTGTTGGCCTGATTACCGACTTGCCTACCTGCCTACCTATCTACCGGTACCTACCTATTCTGCCCTTCCATCATAATTCAATAAAAGTCATCTCAATCACCCACCAACAATAATCCTTCGTTATATGCTCAATCCTTCAATCCTTCAATAATGGCACACTTTTCGGGTGTAGGTGCCTTTTTCCTCATAGTTCTGATCGTCGCTGTCATCGGAGGGGTTGCGTGGATTGTTTACACACATTTGCGCGCACGACGATTAGGTTTACCACAACCGTCCTTATCATCTTACAATCCTTTTAAAGGTGGATCGGATCGATATGGAGCATCGGGGTCAGGACAAGGTGGAGTGGTCGGATGGGTTAAGGATAAAGTTAATGGTATAAAAAATCGCAATAATCGATCGGCCGGAGGAGCCTATGAGGAACCCTTAAGCAGCAACGTACGCGGTCGTGCAGCAAATCGAGGTTTCGGTCCGCTAGATCCTGATGATGCTTGGGATGCTCGAGTTGGAACAGAAGCTGATGCATATGGACCGGGAGGATATTTTGAGGAACAAGAGCTCGGTTTACATGGTGGTCATTCGGGAGTTGCGGGAACGTCGGGTACGGGACCTGGATTCTCAAGTCCTCCTCGTGGCAGAAGCTTAAGTCGCGAACCGGAGCCATATGTTGGTGGATCGAAAGCTGGGCTCGATAGACGTTACGACGAGGAGATGGGAATACCATCAGCGAACAATCCATTCGACGACCCATCCGAATTGAGAGGTGTTAGTCCAAGACCAATGGACACAAAAAAGCATAAGGCGCAAGATGATAATCATTCGGAGAGAAGGTCAATGTTTAGAGAGAACATGTAAGATGGTGACGGATGGAATGGAGGTTATGATTTTTGAATGGCGATACGGTACAATGGGTGAATGGGTTTTGCGATACTCCAGGGCAGGCTGTACTTATACGGAACGAGAAAACTTTGCGAATGCACAACCTACTTGAAAATCTGCGCACAATTTGTTCTACACTATTGAGCAATGAAGATCTAAAACTAGAGACCAGAGACCAGAGAGCCGGAAATCTTTCTTGGGTGCTTCGACTTTACTGAAGCTGTGTATAATCCTGGCATTTTTAGATTAGGTATTGTTGGGTCCGTTCTAGATGAACGAAAGACCTCATGGACTAATGGACATATACCTGTTTTGAACCTTCGTTGGCAAACACATATTCAGCCCTCCTGTCTTAAACGGGCTACAGTGCTGTATCATCACATCTAAGTCAGTGGAAACCACTGACATCTTCAGCCGAACCTGTCTCTTGTCTTTGTACTACGAGGATTGCCGTCAAAGAGAATATGGAATCTTCCTTGACTTAATCCCACCAGTTCCTGCTCCAAGAGCTTCCACGTGCTGATAAGATAGCTTCCGAGCAACCCCTCTGACCCCACTTTGGAGCTCATTTGTCCAGCTCTAAACCCCTTACATTACATCCAAGAAGCGTCTCCTTTTGAATGCTATTTATTTCAACTTACTCTTTTAACTCCTAACAAAACACCAAGATGGCCGCAGTCAACCTTCAAGAAATCCACGATCTCTTGATCGACATTGCTCATGAAGCAGGTCGTATGATTATGTCCGCAACGCCTTCATACTTGAGCTCTGGAACCAAGATGAACAGTAAATGAACAACAACTATACCCCTTTCATCACTTATCAATTGCTTGTACATCATTGTCTCTAACCTTCCCCTTTACAGCTGCCGACCTTGTAACCGAAACCGATAAAGCAGTCGAAGCAATGGTCTCCACCCGCCTTACCGCCGCCTACCCAGCCTATTCTTTTATTGGAGAAGAAACCTTCGTCAAAGGAGAAACTAAACTCACTTCCGCCCCAACCTTCATCTGCGATCCCATTGATGGCACAACAAACTTTGTCCATGCATACCCCGCATTCTGCATCTCTCTTGGCTTCGTCGTCGACAAAGTTCCCAGTGTAGGAGTTGTATATAATCCCTTCACTGGCGACCTCTTCACAGGAATCAAAGGGCACGGCTCATTCGTAACTCGTAAAGATGGAGAGAAATTCAGTCTACCGCTCAAAAAAGAGCCAGAACCATTAAAAGATTTGAGTACCTGTCTCGTAACCGCAGAATGGGGTTCAGATCGCTCAGGACATAATTTCGACCTCAAATGCGACGTCTTTAGAAAATTATCAGCCGCAAAAGAAGATGGAGGCGCAATGGTACATTCACTGAGGGGGTTGGGGAGTGCAGCTTTAAATTTGGTACATGTGGCTAGTGGACAACAAGATGTTTTTTGGGAGGGAGGTTGTTGGGCTTGGGATGTTGCGGCTGGGTGGTGTATTTTAGTTGAGGCGGGAGGCATTATGGTTGGTGGTAATCCTGGGGAATGGAATTGTGAGGTTGATGGGAGGAAATATATGGCAATTAGAGGAGCGCCGAGTGGACAGAAGGATATTGTGGAGGAGATGTGGGCGGTGATTGGGGATAGAAAAATGAATTATGAGACTTAGAGGGGGTTTAGAGATGATATGATACCTAGATGTATACCTGGATGAGAAGTTTACAATCGAAAATTCATGATTAGACGAAATTAAAAGTAATGTTTTTACAACGTCTTGGAATTTTTTATATTGGGTGCCTCATGCATAGCGTCTTCCTGCTAGTGCAGATTGATACGGAACATATTTTTATTACTCTTGCATATCTTTCATCACATTAATTTCTATTATTTTACTTCAAACGGCGTTACAAACTCTCCCAGATATCCAGTATATCTATCCCTATCCCCTCGCTTAAACTATGGCAGAGACTTTGAATCAAGACAATGTTATCTTAGGGGATAACTCATAGAGACGGAGAATATTTTCCTACTCATGTCAATACTCCTTTGCGTTCTGAGTCGAACCCCTTTTCATCTTGAACCCCAAAGGATTTTTCACTTTTCGTACATTACTATGCTAGATCTCACAGTTTTCACAAATATATTGTTTCGTATGTATGCATTCTGTTCAGATCATAAAGTCTTAGGAAAAGCAAGTTCTTATTTAATGCCCCTTTTTGTTTCTGATCAAACTCTTTTTCATCTTGAATGAAGAATGGCTTTTCACTTTTTTTGTAATCACTATTCATATAATCACTCACGGTCTTCACAAAAGATGTTGCATTATTTCGCATGTAAATATTCTTCCACAATTTCAAGAAAAGCGAATTCTTATTTTGTTTGTTTGTATGCATGCTTCCAAAACTAGAGACTAGGTATGTATGTATGATAAGGACAGTGTGGATGTAAGGATATCGTTCCTAGCTCGAGGGGAGGAAAGTGAGATGAAGTGAACTGAGATGAAGTGAACTGAGAGGGATTGGACATGAAAGGTAAGGAAAGGTAAAAAGGATCGTATATGGCAATTGTGGAAACAGAAAAACAAATTGTTCAAATATTCAGGGGACAGGGGATCATCCATCTCTTTTTGTGGGTAGGTCAATACTGCAGTTGCACCTTCTCTCTCTCTCTCTCTCTCTCTCTCTCTCTCATATGTCTGTCTGTGTATGTTTATACCTTTTTGTTGGTTGGGCGAGGCGAGGCGAGGCGGAAGGGTGGTATGCGTGATTTGGGTGTGCTGGGGTGTGGAAATTTTACCAGGAGGAATATTCGCTGGAGCCTTTGTTCCATCCGTAGTTGTTGTTGTTGTCGTTGTCGTTGTCGTGCTTGTTGTCATGTTTGTCATTGTGCTTGTCATCGTGCTTGTCGTCATGCTTGTCGTCATGGCTATCATCATTATACTTGTCGTCATGGCTATCATCGTTATGCTTTCCCCCATCATGCTTATCGTCATGGCTACCGTCGTCGTGCTTGTCGTTGTCATACTTATCGTTTTCGCTTTTGTCCTCAGAACGCTTTCCACTACCGTGCTTGTTATCATCATGTTTTCCACCACCGTGCTTGTCGTTGTTGTGCTTGTGCTTGTCGCTGTCGTGCTTGTCGTTATCATGTTTTCCACCGTTGTGCTTATCATTGTCGTGTTTGTCGTTGTCGTGTTTGTCGTTGTCGTGTTTGTCGTTGTCACGTTTTCCTCTACCGTGCTTATAATCGTCATGTTTATCATCGTCATGCTTTCCACCACCATGCTTGTCATCATAATGTTTGTTGCCCTTGCCATGTTTGCCGTCATTATCATGCTTGTCTTCTCTGCCGCCTCTTCTGTGAATAGAGCCTTCTCCATATCCTCCACCATATCCATGATTGTCGTTCTTATTATCTCCATATGAGTTGGAAACTCCACCATATCCATGAGAATTACCGTAATTGCCGTTCTTGTCGCCATTGTTATATTCTCCACCATAACCCTTATTCCATCCATAATCGTCATGCTTCTCATCTCTGTATGAGTGAGATACTCCGCCATAATCTTTTTTACCTCCATTCTTGCCATGATCTCCGTTATTATCATAGTCATGGTCATGGCCGTGATTTCCATTGCTACCATGATCCCCATAGTTATCATAATTACCGTAATTATCGTTCTTGCCACCTTTTTTTCCGCCATTGTGTGAGACGGAATGGTCATCGCCAGGAACTAGATTTATTAGTTAGATGCAAATTCCCAAGGAGAGAATGGATGGAACGAACCTGGAATGGCGGAGGCACTAAGGCCAAGAGAGAGAATAATGATATTAATGAGTTGCATCTCGACGATGATGTGTGTAAATGCGTTGAAGGCAGAGAAGTGTTTGTTTGTTTGTTTGTTTGATGATGCCGGAGTAAAGTAAATTGTTCATTCAAGCTCGAAGATGGTAGTGTGAGGATGTGATGAGAGCAGTTGATGAAGCTGATGAGAAGAAAAATATGAAGATGAGCGCAATATATGTACTCGCTTATCTATCTATCTATCTATCAATAAACAACGCCTCGAAATCCAGCTTACGGACTGAAGATTGACGACTCACGTAGAACTCGAACTCAGCTGCTATTTCTGATATAGTGATATGCTGATATGTCCGATCCATATCATCTTCCGCAAATTATGCCGTTGATTTTGAATATTCTCGGCTGGAAAACGTAAGGGGTTGGTCATGGTTCAGCCAGCCGGGCTGGAAGAATTACAAGGCGATGTACATTGACTTTGCATCGTCGGGATGAATTGGCCAAGATGTGTTTGGTGAGTTTGAGTTTGAGTTTGATTCTTATTTTGGTTTGTATATCATCACTGGACCTTTCTGTCGGCATAGCTAATCTAATCTAATCTACGCTGTCCGTCCTGGACCGTCCATATTTAGATGAGAAATATTACATATTACATAGTTTTCATCATCCATTTTCCATCATCCGCGAAAATCTCCGTGTCTCTCCACATGATACTTGAGAGTTGAGGTTCGTTCGGAACTCCTATATTTTACGTAATGTAATTCTTACCCTTGTGAATCTTCATCTCCTGAGATTTCCACCAATAGTACTAGTATCTCTCGGACATACACGAATGTATCGAAGTCGACATCGCCAGGCTTGAAATAGATGGATAGGTAAGGTTTTGCGTGTGTGATCAGCAAGAAAAGATAGAAAGATAGAAAGAGGCTTATGAGCCCTTGACGCCTTGCGCGAGGGGTATTACGTGATAGTTGGTAGATGGTGAGATGGCGTGTATTCTGGATAGTCATTCCGTGTCGCTGCCGCTACCGCTGTCGTTGACGCGGAATATGTGCATATCTGGAGATTTCACCAGGGGTATCGCTATGTAATATTATGAATGCGTTTGTCATGGTTTGCTAAGATGGGAAATGTGGAGTAGGATGGCTTGCTTGTATGCTGTGTAACTGGTGATTGTACACGAATCACTCAAATAACTAGCATAAGCATTCGGAACTAAGGTAGGGGAACTGAACTTAAGATCTATCCGCGTCTTGGCGCTTGAGGCTTGTTCGATAGTTTCTGCGAAATGGTTGGGTTGGGTTGTAGGAGAGATGGATGGATTGAATGGCATAATTAGTAAGAAATGCATCGTGAGTGAAAAACAAGGGGTTTGCGTCATGGCCTTGCGTTTTGTATGTATATATATGTATGTAAGATAGCTGATCATCTTCATCGTCTTCCTCATTACGCAATAATCGTAAAGTAGAGTGAAATTTATGTGTAAATTAACGTACATGTAGTCCCCGAGCCAAGAATTCGGGTTGGAGGAATTACGAAACAATGAATGCGGCACTGTTTGATGCGAAGAAGTAAGAGGAAGATCACGCGGGGAACATGTAGGTATGGCGGTACCGGTACCCTTGTCTGTTTGCTTAATGGCTCGGTAGTTGTGTGACGAGACGGGGTAGTGAAAAGCGGTACACGATTGCCGAAATCTGGGGAAGGAGACTTCGGGGGTACGGGTGCGTGAATGGGGATGGGATAGGATGGGAATGAGAAAGAATTCTTCAAATCATGTCTGATATTTATTTATTGGGAGATTTTGAACTTGTGAACGAGTGCTGAGATGTCATCTCTATCTATCTTTTGATGTTTTTTGAGGAATTTGGAAGAGAAGAACTTTTCGGTGGTGAATTTATTGGTTACAAGCATGGTGTTTTGTTTTAAGATGGTGTTTAAGCTGGCAGAGCTTGGAATGGAGATTGGATAGTGATGAGGTATAAGTGCTTGTTAATTACATGACTTTAGATGGCATTGAGGAGGATGGATTTTATCTGGGCTTTGGATCGAATGGCTGTGATGGAAGATGGAAGAGAGTATGGTTTTACCTTCAATCTGTTTTTTTTATTGACTTGAATATTGAGGGGTATTGGGTCCATCAGACTGTTTATATATAAATTGGAGAGATATGTAGTTCCTTTATTACTCTCCGACGGTATTCTTCTTTCTAAGAATCTTGAAGAATGTGGAGAGGATGTCAACGATGAGGAGAATATATCATATCATAGATAGCAAACACCCTGTATCAAATTGACGAATGGAAACCCAAAATCTGTTGAAAGGAGTCTTAGCAAGGCAGAAGAACGAACGGTCTGCGAGTGTAATTCATATTTCTACGAGATGTCAATCATAAGATATCAAGTGAATGCAGGAGGATTTTTTTCGAATCATTGAATGTGCTATTGAGATGTTGCTTGCTATGCTAGTGGGGGTGCAAGTAAGTAGATGAGTGATTTTAATTAGAGGCTATGTATGTATATACTTGATCTCTAATGATTTCCTTGAGAAGGGATTATGGATTTGTTTTTGCGTTTTTACCCTTCCCGAATGATGGATTGACCGTGACGGAGATACTGGAGTCTGGTTGGGATATTTGATCGAGATTGAGATCACTTTTTGGACTAGGATGGTCTAATGGCAAACGTTTGGATAGGGATTCGGAATGTATTTGGATTACCTACATAAATTGTGAATATAAACACAAGTTTGAATGCTGGCTTGTGATTTGGATGCGAATTGTCCTTTTTAGTATCTTTATGACATATAAATCTATCTTCACTGGGGGATAATTATAGCATAATTAATTAGTAGAAGGGGAAATATACGAGTAGATCATCACACAGTGCCATCTACTGATATGAATGAGGTCTTTACTTCTTTAATTCTATATCTATGAAGTGATTGGAGTGGACTGGACTGGATTGACGCGCTTGAAATGAATTGAGAAGGGGGAGAGTTTCTACTAAGCGATAATCTATAGAAGAAGTATGCACGATCGGTAATAGCTGATGAAGGTGGTAAATGCAAAATAGTTTGCTCATTCAGCTGACTTCTTGTACGGTTCATCTGGTAATTAAAGAGATACCGACATACTCCAGTTCATGCTAGGCTGAGTATTACATATTCAAGGGCAACGATGACTAGAGCATCGATATCGAGGATTTCCAGGTGGGTATTTAGAGAAGCCACCACAACATCGACATCCTACGCTTGAGCAGCCGTATCTGGATTTTAAAATAACTCAAAGCCCTATCCGACTTTCGAACCCCCAACGCCATGATTTCAGTGCTGTAAGATTGACATGAGCTGCGATGCAATGCTAAGCAAAGACCAAAAATATCCACCACATCCAGAAGCACAATTTTCCCCATTCAATCACTTCAAATATCCAACCACGTAACAAAATCTATGCATTACTATTCCTATTCCATGCCCAGGCAAAAATGTCTAGCTATGGGTTGGTTTTCTTGCTTCACTTCGCTATTACTATTAGTATTTACATCGATTTTTCTAGACGCCATGTGTATATGTGTATGTATGTAACCCACCAAGTAAGCAGAGGAGAAATATTTTGAAACTGCATTTGCTGACTGGCAATGCTGAATAGATGGGATGTTAATAATAGGTTGTAAGAGGTAATCATGTTCTATAAGTGAAAACAGAATTGGATTTGTTTCGTAGTGTAATTGATGATTTATGTGGAAATAATTTCAAAGTGGTATTCGAAGAGAGTATATTTTCGTTTTTGAAAGGGGAGGGGGAGTTAGGGGGTTGACTATGCAAGAACTGGGACTTGTTTAGTCGGATTTGATGATATGTGTAATACTAACGAATGATATACCACGATTTCTGATTTTTTTCAAGAATTCCTTTTCTTCTTCTTCAAAAAGCCCATCTACTCTACAGTTTCAGGGTAAGACATACCACACAGGCCATGGCAATTTATCCCGCAGTCCTGGGGTGGGGTGGGAATTTCCCGAGGGTTACTTTTGTTGCTGATCTCCATGTCTCTCCTTATTGATGTAGCATTATGTAATATTGTGGTATGAATTCGGTGGTTGTACGGGGGTGCTCAAATGTGATAAAATGTTTATTCTTCGTCAGAGGAATATTATTGATGTGTAGCTTACATATGCTGCGCATCTTGGTCGGTTGGTTTGAAGGGTACATAGGCGAATGTCCACATGAAGATAACTTTAGGTGATGTGTGAGGGCTGGAACTAATCTTTATAACTCGAATTGAATAGATGCCAAGTCTTCTCTTTCTGAAGTAATCTTCAATGGCTGTCGAACTTTTGTATTGACTGATTTACGCTATGTATTTCTATCGACAATTGTTAGACTTCGATACGAACTATTATTCCACTCTTTCTCCTCTGATTACCCTTCAATACGCTATTCAAATGCATGTAGCTTCGATATACTTCTCGAAATATATAGTCCATGCAGAGATATTTCCTTTGCCTGGCTGGAATTTCTCTGATCCGAGATACATATAAAGGTCTCTTCATCCTGAATTTTAATTCATTGCTCCTCCATGGAAAACATCAAGTCAAAAACTCGTAGAGCTCAGTGATGATGTCTCCACGGATCTTCTTTCAGCGGAACCTTCTTCCAGGTGAATTCCGGCACAAATCTTTCTTGATTCCAATCTCGAGTGTGTTTAAGACACATTACCAACTCTGGCGGGTTCCAACTTGTGTAACTCCCTGTTTGAGTAAGACGAAAAGTGTTCTTGGCAACTTGTAGTAGAACAGATGACATTTTCCACAAAGGTACATCATACAAACTTGTACGTCCGTTTATTTTCGAGAAAACTATTTTCTTCTTCCCATCCCCATTTTCCTTTTCCAAAACCAAAATGAGAGTTTCCAATCCTCGAAATGCAGGTAGACGATAAGCCGCTTTTACCTCAAACTCCCGAATTTTCTTGACGGATATCGCCAGTGTTTTAATTCTTTCTAATTGGTCTGGCTTCATTGCTTGTTTGAGCGCTAACAACATTTTTGGTATATTGCCTTCGAGGTCGGAGTAGCGACGCCCAGTAAATTCGGTGATTGGCGGGTTGAGAAAAAGAATCTCATGTGTAAAATTGATAACGGCATCCCTACTCCATGCTTCAATCCTCAAGTGCCGACTATTCTTCAGCATCAAAGTTTCGTATCCCATGACAGATAGGAGTTCTCTTCTACTTTCTCGATTCACATGAAACACAGCCTGCGCAGGGTGTTTTGTAGGAAAGATTGAATCTTCAGACATGTTCAGCTCTATGACACGCCCACGTTCAGGAGCACATGAACGCCAAATCTTTGCCCGCAATTCGGGCGGCAGTTTTGGGAATGGAGTGAAAGTTTTGGGACACAGTGGAATTGATGATGAAGGATGAACGGTAAGAGATGCGGATGGATAGAATCTCGACGATGGAGTTTGAGCACCTTCGATGGGTTGGGTGACGGATTCGTCACTGAAATTCAATGGACAGTTAGAGAAATTGTCGACGTAACCTCTTTGCTTTCGGTGCGAGTGTACTAAGATTTCATTAGCCACTTTCATTGAGATTTGTCCCATAACCCACCCATTCCCACAAACATTTCAAGTTCTTCCGCCAACAAATCAGCATCGGTGTTATCGATTTTAAGGCATTTGTAGATATCCTTAAATGCGGACTGTACACTCTCTTGATACAGCAGATGCTGGGGGTCCTTAATACAATACATTCTTGTTAAGATATGAAAATGCTGTATTTTAAGATTGAATGCCACAAAAGTGATCTATTATTATCATTATAATGCCCATCTCTCTTTGTATTTCAGAAGTCACATTCTAAACTCACCACTAGTGTTTTAATCCTTCCCTTTTCGGAACTTGCAAGTCTTTCAATCTTCAATACCTTACTTCTCATTCCTAGACAAGATCTGAACGGTCTTGAAACTTGAAAGACCTTGCAGATTTGATTGATGAATATAGCCACAATCCCGAGCTTAATGAACCTAGAAACACGATATATCACAATGAGGAGAACGAGAGAAATAAGAGGTCAAATATGATGGGCACTGTGTAGAATTTCTAAATCTCAACTTGAGTATAGAATCTTAAACTATCAATATGTAGCAAATAATCGGTAAAACTTCATATTTCAAAATTACTTGGGATTGTCAAGCTCTTGACTGGGCAATGCTGAGGTCAAATCCAAGTATCGATGCGGGGCTGATTGTGACTGCAGTTGGGTCAAACAGTACAATATTTCGCAGAATTACAAATCGGTCATCGCAATATCAATCATTCTGAGTAAATGGACCATTTTGTTTTGAAGATATAAAACAAAAGCTGTCGACGACGAGGTGAGCAACGAGTCAGTACTTCCATTCAAAATTCATGTCATCATGAGAGTGGATTAAGAAAGTGTCTGATCCCGTGTCAAAACATGACATCACTTAAGGTTACCTTAGTTTAAACTGGGCATGTTCGTATTCATGTATTCTCAATTGGACCTCAAGTTCCTCAACTCATAACGAATAAATCTCTTCTTCTTCTTCTTCTTCTTCTTCTTCTTCTTCTCTTGATAATCTCAATTGTCTGCCAATACTTGAAGCCTCAATTCCATCAAAAATAGAAAAACAACTCATAAACGCAATGGGTTTCCTCGCCGCAATACTCGGTCTCATTGGCACTGGTCAAATTGCATTTACAGGATACAATCTCTACCTTTCCTCAATTGCTATTCCAAAGCTCCTCTCATACGAAGACAAAGCTGTAAAAGCTGCAAAATACTCAAATATCGCCGAGGAGCAATTATTCAGAACGCGTACCACACAAGCTGCTAGTGTTGGAGCTGTAAGTCTTCATCTCTCCTCTGACACCCATGTAGCCCTGATTTAACAACAACTAACTTTTCCTGTTAGCTCCTCCTAAGCTTTCTAACCGCCACGCCCTTTCTTCTCTCTCGCTACAGCAGCAGCACGATCTTTGCCCTCTCGGCAGTCAATCTCGCAGTTTTACTTGTCACAAGAGAATATGTAGGAGATTTCTGGAAGGGAAAAGCAAAAATGCCAATTCCAGGTACCGGAAATTTCAACGATGCAATTGGGTTGACGAATGAGATTAGAGCGAACCAAGTGTTCTTGGCGATTAGTTGGGTGGCTTATGGGGTTGTGGGCTTGTTGGCATAGATGGGACAATATGGAAATTGGGTAGGATCTTGGATGGGATAAGATGGGGTAGGGTCAAAAGGAGTTTGGATGGTTGCATATGTATGGACGGTAGGTCGCATATTTTGGGAGGTTAGATCATCATTTCCTTTGGATGCAATTCATTATTGCATATGGAGCATCGCAATGGAAGGTAAAATTTTACTGGTATCGGTTTCTCTGAGAATTTCAAGATTTCAGCGCACCCAATCTTCACATTGATGTGGAAGTGTCTGATACTTTTCTGGTGTTCTGAATAAGAGGCTTCTCTTCGTTTGCCGGAAACTCTCTGGGGAAAATCAAGAGAACGAGCAAGGTCTCGTCCTGATGAGATTGTCAATATTTCGTTGATGTCCGCGGCTACATCTGGTGGATGTAGTCTCTAGAGGTTTAGACCTATCATGGGTATATCCGTGGCTGGGATATTATTAGAAGGAATCAAATACTTGCTAGACACTTTCATACCTTGATTTTGACTCACGCCTTTTGTGTGGAGAGCTGGGTAGTTGAGTAGCACACGCTTCTCAATCCTACACACAATTTACTTCAATGGCCTTTGTTATGTGAACATGGCCATGTGCGAAAGCGTTAGTCTCTATTAAGGTGTATTTCTCTCCAAGCAAAGGAATATGAACTGTCTTTACACCGCGCAAAGAAATATGTTACGGAATGGAAAGATAGTGCTCAAAATTTCTAATCTGTTACAGACGTTTCATTTTAGCACGAATTTTTCCACAAGAGACTCAGGAGCATATTTTTCACTGGCTATTAGTATGAAACCACATCATCTACTCTTTAAAATACAACCAAGAGTCTCTGATCCCTTTTCCTTGAAATGATTCGATGTCACCCGTGCTATGGATATATGATTGCGTTCGAAAGCGTGAATTCATCATGGATATCGATCTATAGGAACATGACAATACCAATAGACCTGAAATCTAAACCCATTATATTGGGAACCCAAAGACCGCTCAATTATACCAAGCAGCTATAGCTATCATTACATAGATCGAAAGTAGCAATACACCTTGTAAACTACACTTGTTAGCAATTTCCAGAAAAAAAGTCGAAGTCCACTCACTAATTACTCTTTCCACCTGCAATCAGAAAATTAAACAGCAACACAGCCATAAATAGAGAAGCCACCTGAAACCCATCAAACAACAAACCCATATCATCTATCCCCCAGATCCACGCAATAATCACAATCAGAGGCGTGATGAGTAGTGACGTCTGAAGAGATTTGCCCGCCGATGCCATGATGCTCAAGTCTAGTTTATCCATTCGTGCACAGGTAATGGGCAGGAAATCATTGTTGAGAAAAGGGAGAAGGATTAGACCGATGAAACTGGGTGAGGCGTGATGTGCTGTTAGACCATCGATACTGTCAACGGCGAAGGTAGTGTTGAAGGCGAGAATGACTGTTCCGAAAACGAGGGTGGTGACACCGACCGGCATAGAGAGATGAGGCTCTATATCTTCGCCTGTGGAATAAACGGCTGATGGAGAATGCTCGCTTCTGGTGCTCGTGCCCTCTGTGACGTCTTTGACAGTCGATTTTGGTGTGTTTTTGATGTACTTCAATCAAAGTCAGCGCATGCCAAGGCTGTTGGGAATCTAAAATTACCAAGCTAGCTTCTGGATTAAAGACATATGAATGTGTTTTCAGTTGAAAGAATAGATAGACACCATATACAAACAACAAAACAAGCGAAGTCCCTCTAGACTGCGCAGCAATATGCTCCGGGGTCGAATTAGCAAAAACATGAGATGCCGTCGGGATGATCAAGCTAGCCACAGACAACGTCAAGAAATTAGCGACATAACTTGCCGAGCTGACATTGAAAGACTGCTCTAGTCGATCAATGCCACCTGCGAAATAACTCGCGCCCATTATCAACAAGACTCCACCCAGAATTCCCCCCAGGAGTGAAGTTTTCAAAATCTCCACTTGTCGAGTCTTGAGAAGAAGAATCGAGGTTACGAGTTGTACGATGTTTCCAAAAGTCATGTAGATTAATCCTCCCACTGTATTTCCAAAACGTAACATCACCTCATCCATAGCCATACCGACAATCGAAGCACTTGGGAAGATAGCAATGAAGTTTAGTATGAAGCTGACGATAGGTGGTAAATTAGCATAATTTGCAGCGAATCCCGCGGGGATAAATGGGAGAAGAAGTGATAGCCATGATGAGCAGAAAATTGCAACTATTTGTTTCATCAAATCTCTATATGGTGATGTGCGTCTCGTCGCATGTTCGTTTGCTTTGTTACTTTCACACTTTGGGTTGTCTTCGGGGATAGAAGAGGGACGTTGAAAGCGATGCCGGGGATGCGCTCCGAGGCTAGAGCCCGCGACCCCCTCAACACCTAAGTTACCAGCGGATATTGAATGTATGGGCTCCTCATCCAAGTTCATTGCGGTGAATAAAGACTCAATACCAAGGCTGAGCTTAGCGAATTCTGGATCCGAGAGCCTATGAGCTGGTTCCACACGTGAAGGTGTAGCATGCGTATCACTTTCTGCTCTTCCAGACTCCTCATCCTTCCTTGCATGACAATTCATCTCGAAGCCATTGTCGGCCCATCTTCTACCTCGTAGGAAAGGATTCCAGCTAGGAGTTTGATCGCGCTCGGTTACGATTCTCGCGCTTCGAGCTTGGAGACGAATATTATCTGCACGAAGATGTCATTGAAATGTAATGTTTTATCAAAATTTCACAACTCACTCATTTTGCTTGATAAACATCATTTTTCTGAGTTCATGTGAGAAGATAAAGTTCAACGTAGTTTCTATTATACCACATTGGTAGATGTAAGACACAGCCTCACGCGCTGCACAAATGTGGCGCGGTCTCAGTTATGGAAGCGTGCCACCCGTCATTATGATTTTTGATATGATTTCTGTTTAATGTGAATCATAATTAGATGTTTCTCGTCGCAAAGAGTTTGTTTCTCATGAAATATGTAAAGCGATAGTGGGTGGAGTGCTTCCAGGAATTTAGGGGCCCAGGGCCAGGCTCTCTTATAAAGGGGAGCCGCTGTAGGGAGTACCCAATAAGCCACTCTCCCACTGTACCCCAGATCGACAAGCTTTCGCTAGTGATGGTTTTAAGGATTGATCTGAAACTCCTTCATACTAAAATTTGAAGTATTAACGGGGTAAACAGCACTAACCAAATGTTCGAATTCTATGCATTTACCTTTAATCGATCTATGTCGCTTATTTCCAGGGGACTATCCGTGCCGATTGAACAAGCAATGATAGACACTTGATGGACATGTGTAGTACTGTTTGAAAATCACAATCATATACCCTTAAGCCGAGCAACGACATGTACTTCCTTGATAGAAGATTATCTCTGTTGTATACCATGGGAACTAACGACGGATTCAATACAATTTCACATCGTCTGGTCTCCCTTTTCAAAGTGGTCGATATGATTTCAAATCGTGAATTCACACGACTCAAATCACATTACAATACTGGACATTTCTGTGTAAATGAAACTCAAACAATCGATCTCTGCTAACTCAATCACCTCCTCCGATACCAAAATGCTCCCCTAGTCCTGAATAATTGAACCTACAGTTTTGCAATCTTACCCTCCCCTTCCTTCTTGATCTGATCTTTAAAAAGTCTCCTCAAAATCTTCCCACTCGCACTTTTCGGAATACTCTCCACCCATCTCACTCCGCCCCTCAGCCTCTTATAATCCGCCACTCTACCCGCTAACCACATTTCAACCTCCCTCCCTTCTTTTTCTCCATAAACTTTCCTCTCTTCCATTCCCACACTCCCCTTCCCAACCAAAAATCCAACCGGAACCTCCGTTTCCCGCTCTTTATCAAAAACTCCCACAACACAACAATCTTCCACCCACTTATGTTCCACTAACACTCCTTCCAACTCTGCTGGCGCAACCTGGTATCCCTTGTACTTGATCAATTCTTTGACACGATCTGTTATATACATATTTCCTTTTTCGTCTTGAAATCCTATATCCCCCGTTTTGAAGAACGGATATTTTGATTTCAAGGAGGGAGAAGAAGTGACCAAAGCCGCAGAAGTAGCATCCGGATTGTTATGATAGCCCAAAAATACATTGGGGCCCGAAATCCAAATCTCTCCCTCTTTACCCACAGGTACTTCAGTATTTGACGGCGACATGAATTTGACAATTTGATTTGCCAAAGGTGGTCCCACTGATCCGAGACCACTATCATATTCGAGCTTTTTTCCAGCGTTAGCAAACTTTTGTTTCCAAGATTGTTCATGTCAAAACATCATCATACCTGTATGTGAGTTACTGGACTCGTCTCACTTAATCCATACGCTTGCCGTACTCCAACTCCCAGTCTCTCTTTCACCATGTGAATCAACTCTCTACTCAACGGCGCAGCACCCGCTACAATACCTCTCAAGCTGCTGATATCATATTCTTCCACCACTGGACTTTTCGCTAGATGTAGGATTATCGGAGGTGCGACGTATGTGTATGTGATTGTGAATTGTTGAATCAAAGAAAGGAAAATGGGGAGAGAGAAAGATTTCATAACTATGGTAGGGATTCCAAGATAGCAGGGAAGATGGACGAGACATTGGAGGCCTGTGACTATTAGACTCGTTCGAGAAATATGTTCATTGCGTGTGACAAGCAAAGGAGATGGATGTAAGAGAAGATTAACATACCATACGCGTGAAAAAATGGCAAAACACTCAAAATCCGATCACGATCCCATCTCATCAGCCTTCCCTCCCTCGAAGCTACTTGCATCAAATTGGCCACCACATTCCTATGAGTCAACATAACCCCCTTTGGCAATCCCGTCGTTCCAGAACTATACACCAAATACGCCAAATCCTTTTCCGGGTCAACATTTAGCCTCTTCTCATCTCCCACCATAAAAACATCCCTAATCCCTCTTTCCCCCTCAGGAACCTCACCACCTTGCACCAATACATCAATACTCCTCCCAATTTCCCTCTCAATCTCATTCACGCATTCCCTCACCCTCCCCACCAATTCCCCCGTCGTAACAATAATCTTCGCCCCACAATCTCTCAAATGATGCGTCAATTCCCGTCTCGTATATACCGGATTCGCAGGACTGACTATTCCGCCTATATAATGTGTTCCCCACATAGTAATTGGGGTATCAATATTATTCTCTGAGAAAAGAGCCAGGACATCGCCTTTTATGAAGGAGTAATGGTGGTGGAGACCCAGGCCAAAAGAGATGGTTTGGGATTTGATGGAGGAGTAGGTGTGTGAGGAGTGGGAAGAGGTGTAGAGGACTAGAGGGTATTAGTTTTCTGTTTCGTTTTGAGATTTTGGAGAAAGAAGGGATTAAGAGAGGAAATACCTTGATCATCCGGAAATGGCTTATCCTCCCGTTCAAACAATACACTCCAGAGATCCATCTCTGGAATTTTGATTTCTTCATAGAAATCCGACATCTTCTCCTCTCTCAGAAGTATATTTGACTTCTCATCCAACTTGTCAATAACCGGCGATCGACAACTGAGATAACAACCTCGCTGATATGAGTAACATCAAAGATATAGAATCGACGCAGACCAAAAGAATTTCCTCTACTTTACTTCCCTACTTCAAGTAGGGCAAACAATCCAGTTGAAGGGAATCCCCAAGATAGCCAGTCCTCTCCCCCCAGAATTCTCCTCCTATTCGAGCTTTTAAACTCCCCCTTCAATATCTATCGGTATCAATATCAATGCCAAAATATCAACAGATTCCACTTCAACTCTCTCACATGAATCCCCTATCAAATCCTCAATTATTTATTCGAATCCCTTGTAAGTAGTTTTTCAAAGAATCCCAAATCTCAATCTCCCAATCTCTACCTCAATACCTATTCCAACAACCTCAATATCTTAAAACCCTCAAACCCTAAATCTTATTTCAAAATCCTGAATACAAACAAGGACCATGTATAAAAATAATCAAAATCAAGATACAACCAACCCCTTATCCAAAATTCCACCCCTCAACTTAAATACCAAATCCCCATTTCCCCTCAACAATCCATCCCCACCATTCCTACCATCTCTTACCCCCCCCCCTCTTCCCATCCACATACCACATACCACATACCACATACCACATACCATAAACCCCAAACCCCTCCCAAAATGACAAATACAACTCACCAAGCCCCAAACCCCAACCCCACACACGCTACATACGTACATACATACATCCACTCAAAATCTCACTCATACAATCTCAACCCTCGAGCCCCGAGCCCCGCAACCCGCCTCAGACTCAGACTCAGACTCAGACTCATCAGGCCAAAGGCGACCGGGACATTCCCACTCGCATCTCGCCTGTCAGTGCTTACCAATTCTTCCAAACTATTATCATTACCTATTATCTATTACCTATTACAAGTTCGGTACCCTAAGCGGCGGCTAAGCCTAAGTAAGGAACATGCGGGGTGGGGCACAGCAATATTGACTACGACACCGGTAGGTATATTCGTTAGATACGGGATCTATTCCGCATCTCCAGCTTTACTTTGTACTTTGTGTCTTGAAGCTGGGCGACAGGTAGTGAGGTACACCAACCTCTGCCTTTAGTTTTATATACTCTCTATACTCTCTATACTCTCCTCTCACTCACTCACAACAACCCCCAAAAAAGAAACAAACCACCCTCCTCATCATCACATCAAGAACCACACTCACACTGGACTAAGATCGAAATTTAAAATTCCTAACATCGTAATTTAAAAAGACAAAAATAAAATTAAAAAAACCATTGGGTATATATACTCCTTTTCATCGCAACCATACACATTCGTCATCCATATCGTCCATCACTCTCAAAATCATGGCACACCATTAAATAAAATCCATAATAAACATCCCTCACACTCTCAAGACCCAAATAACCCGCCAAATAACCTTTCCCTATAATCCAGCCAACGAAAAGTCCTAAGAGGTCAACGGCCTCAAAGCGCTAATTCCACTCATTAGTTAGTCCTGCTGGGACCAATATATTAAAGTTCCTTCATCCATTCCGAAGCGCCAATGCTCAGTCCCTGGATTTTGAACAAGATCAATTGATTCAAATCACATAACCTTCACGATAATCGTACATATGTATCGAACAAGTATAATAATGCCACAAAAATTCGTCGTGCTGAGAAAATAAGAGATTGAATCTTTAATATCATGAAGCTTCACTCGAAAACAGCTTCCAGGCCGAGAGATGGAGACTTCATTGATTGAGGCCACGGTATCGGTGGCATGGCTGCATATTGCACGCCATCTGTATTAGCGAGCTTCTTTCGTTCCACCTCTTCGACCAAGTACCATCTCCGTGTGAGTCGTGATTTTCTTTCTATGAACAATGTCATTATTCCTTCCTCCTCTCTGCTATGCATCTCCTCTAGAACCTCTAACTCTTGATTCTGTTTGACCATTAGATTCTCAAGCTCTTTGTCTTGTCGAATAATTAAATTTTCCATTTGTTTCGCTTGCTTGTCCCGCATGACGTTAATCCTGCTCTGGTGTAAACGGCCCAAGTCGTCGCGAATGTTGTATTGCTGTCCAAGCTCTCTGAGATCTTTCTCGGTAACGATTCTTTGTACATCATAACCACCAGAACCTCTACCAAGTCCATTGCAATAAGCTTCCATGTGCTTTAAACGGATTTGCACGCTTCTTTCGCTCTGCTTTAGAGTAGCTCTAAGTTCCATTTCAGCAGCGACTTGTCGATCTTCTAGATGCGTTGAGGTTCTGTGATGGCGTTCTTTCATTTTTGTTGAGAGCTCAGCGTAGCGATCCAAAATATCAATTTTAGCTCGACCGTGCCGCGTCCACATGATCCACTTCATTTTTCTCTCAAAGGCGCAAAATCGGTCTCTTTCATTGATCTGACAAGCTCGAAGCGCATTCAGAGTGGCATTCTTTCTGGTCCGCTCTTCGGCCGCTGCACGCTCCTCCGCTTCCAACTTCTCTACTTCTTCCCTAGCCAACCTCTCCTTCTCCTCTTCTGCAATTCGCTGCTCTTCTTCGAGACGTCGACGTTCGAGCATTTCCTCGCCATTACAGTAATTTGGACAGCCAACCGACGGATCCCAGACAGCGCCACATATGTAACAGAATTGGGCTTTACACCGACAAGTGATATGACTGCAACCTTGAGATAATTCTACCAGAGTTCTACATTTGTAACAGCGACGCCATCCTGCATTCTTCGCCATTCTCAAAACAGCTTCTAATTCGTAATCTTCAGGACAATCTTGGCCACCCGGATGTGCCGCACGCTTGCATATCGAACAAGCTTTATCTCCACAAGTTCGACAAACCACCTCAAACGGCTGCTTGGGATCAATTTTACCGAGTGTCGGAATAAATTCACCACAAGAGGTATTTGGACAGAAAATCCTGGCTTCCCATGGCGTACTGAATTGTACTACGCTTTTCATGAATAAACTTTGTTCTTCTTTATCCAGGACCGATTTGATTGTGTTTCCCGGTATAGCTTGACTGCAACATCTGGGTGGCATCTTCGATTCTTCTTTGCAGCCTTGGATGGCCAGAACTCGGAGGCATTTTTCGCAATAATTGTGAGCGCATGGAAGTGTACGCAACGTACTAGAATTCTTGAACTCTTCCCGACAGCAGATACAAGAGCTAAATAATTAGCGTTTTCCTTTGGGCTTTCTGTCTTCGAGAATATATACACTCACATTACTTGTTCCCCAGATGTTTTGGGCTTGCGACGGAAGCGGGTTTTGATTCCATTCTTGATGCTGATGTAAGAGCGTTTCGAGGATACCGAAAAAAGGGATGGCGCTGATTCCGGGGAACTGACAGGTATCGGCGCAGGTAACGGGTGCTTATTTTGAGCATCGATTTGCTTTACAAATTTCTCGTAATCGTGAAATGATACACTTCTCCTTCCCGTAGGTCTTTTCCATGGTTGCGGTGATGATGCAATGTCCAATTGTTCATTCGACAATCTCGACGTTAATCCTGTCGAATCGCTTTCTTGAGAGAAGGACGAGTCGGTATGTGTGTGATGCGATTGATTGAAAGGAGATTCGCACGGAGAGCAATCGGTTGTTTCGTCTGCGGAAGGACCCGTTATCGAAATTCCCAAATTTTCTGCCTCTTTGTTCAATCTTTCGTCAAATTGTATCTCCGTCTGTATGAGCCCGTTCAACTGTAGCACCTCGCGGAAATAATCATCGTCATTATATTCGATAGGCTGTGCAGCCTCGTATTGCATGTCAAGATGAGATCTGGCGCGCAACGCTGGCAACATTGTCGAAAACCCTTCTCTTTCAACGCGAAGGCAAGTTCTGATTCTGCGGTCGACACTCATACATATCTAAGGTTGAATAGTTCGATTGAGATATGGTACGCCTGATATAAAACCGGGTGGCCAGTGGGCTTGGGCTTGGGCTTGGGCGATAGACAGCAAGGGTCAATCAATGATATGATGAAGCAAGCAAGGCGGGAAGAGCCAATTTGACTTAGGAGATAATCGGAGAATTGTTTGCAAGGAATAAAGTAGTCAGGGTCTTAGAGATTGTGAGGGAATATAACAGGAGTAGTGTTTGATAACAAAATCTTTTCTTCCTTCCTAATGTAGGTAGCAACAACAAGCAAACATGTAGAGATCGTGTTAGAATCTCCCAAAGTTATAGACGATGGACCAAACGATTGATTAGGGGTGGTAGAATGAGAAGAAAAACGATGAAGGTTTGGCTTCCAAGATTTAACGATGAAGGGGTAGATACATGCATGCTAATCTGTCAACGCCGCCAATCGCCCGGCTACAGGAATAATATTTGCTAATGGGGCAAGACCATGAATCGCACATGTTTATTGGCAGGTGCCTCTCTCCTGTCCGGAAGGAACACACCTAGACGATCCATTAACGACACTATCTTGACTACCTACCAAAGGATGAGATGTAAGAGCAACAATTTGTTACTATTAAAATAGTTTCTATGCTACACTTTCCTAGTCACATTGCGCTACATCACACTACTTTTTCTTATTCCTTCTAGACGAACTAGCCACTGGATAGGCACTGCACAGAAAAACTCTATCTGGAGGGAAGTATCCGATGTTGAATCCGTCTTCACTGTGCATTCAGTAAGTATAGATTGTGTGTCAACTCCCTCATAGCAATTCCAACAGTCATTCCTGATTGTTGCAGTGTTCTCCTCATAGCAAACCCAGATACGCAATTCTCCTTCCCCCTTTGGGTTGGCGTGATAGACAGCTATTATATCAGATGAGCTTTGAAGTATAGACGATCTAGTCAACCAACCACTTCGTTCAGGGACAACACACACCTGATTCGTTCACCGCATTAGCCCTTCAAACTATAATCTTCGGCTTTAGATCAGTAGTCTGCAGACTCGCTCTCTACCAGCCTCTGGCTAATACTCAACCGGAGGATTTGTCGCGGATGTATGGTGATATCAGTCATTCCTGAGTCACTAATCAGCTATCTAAAGACACGATAGCGGGTATTGAATCGAATCGATGTACTATATGAACTATCTACGATGTACAACACTAGGCAATGAAAATTCTCCGATCGATCGGGGTATATACAGTAGAGTTTTATAGACATCCAGGTAGAACACACATCCCGTAACTACTTAAAGTTCATATTCATCCCCAATTCCAAATTTAGGATGTTGAAGCATGTCATATTCTACGGCTGATATTTCTATCCACCTATCATGTATCGCTTATAGTACCTGCACCAGATCACCAGCAACATTGTCTACCACTTTGCCAATGCTGCGAGTGGGGTCGTTCTCTATTGTAGGAAGAATCAGATGGGTGTCAAACCATAGCACAATCACTGAGCGTTCAGACCGAGGTGCACAGCAATCGAAAATTAGAGGGGTTTGATGATATACATTTGAGAGGCGTTTCTGATCAGCATGGCGCAAACATGTAGCCTCTTACAATAGCATAGCATGACACTATTCGCTACTCTCAGCATTGTCACAAGCGGATGATTGAACTAAATATGGCACGTTCCCCGGATCTGCATGGCCGTTTGCTTTGACAAATGAACCAACCGAACTAGATAGATTGAAAGATTTTGCCGAGGCTCACACAGTTCGACGATCATAGCATAGCTAATAAGATTGATCTGGTCTTGATTGAGAATGTGATAACGGCACTTATATTTCTGCAAGGCTTGAAGGCGTCCTGCGAATGAAGGGAAGTATACATGGAGATCTAGATGGTTAAATAAGTATTGTATTTGACATTTCATCCTCTTATAGCATACGAGCAGCAAAAGAAATTCGCTTCTAAGCTCAGTGGTAACTTGTTTACCATGTCCAATGTGAGACATTCATCCTACCTAGGTGTGCCCAGATGGCAGGAACATCAATCAATCCCATGAGGTTGGTGCATCTAGTTGACGTGACCACCATTTCTCCTATCATCATCATATCAAAAGCCAGAGGGCATTGTGACGTGGCAGCGTTTGTGTTTTTGTTTACAAAACAAAGTTCAACCTTTACCTCTCCCGTTTGTTAGGGGTATTGATATGAGATGTGTGTAATGCTTCCACGGCAGGAATGATCAAACTTTCAATCTCAATCTCAGGTTCCCCATCAGGTAGCTCATTTGGATCAAGAGGCTCATCGCCAATCTCCCCTCCCCTCGCTGCAGCACCTACTAGATCTTCTACACCACTGATGGTTCTCTTTCTCTTGCTCCTAGGAACTCTGATCCATTGATCTTTGCTACCGGGCGCTACGAAAACCACTTCCCATTTTCTAGTAGCAAGTAAATTGCCGATGACCAAGTGATGTTGGTAGCGGTCCAAGGAGTATTTTGCCTTGTGAACCAAAATTGCCGGATCGGTTTCAAGCTTGAAAGAAACAATCATGCCTTCAGGAGCCCAGCCATCCACAAGATTTTTGAGGAACTTAGGTACAGGATCCAAATCGACAATTAGACGCTTGCTCCGTGGTACCGCTGGAGAGGAATCAAAATTATCAAAAGCTTCCTCATCCTCTCCGTTTCCCTTATCTTCGCTTCCCTTTTCAGGTGTATTCGTATCCGTTGCATTTGTAGACTGTATTTTGTGTTCCACCATACGTTCTGGAGGTACGAAGAAATCCGATACAGCTGCAGCCAAATATAATAACCCGCGAGGACCCAACGGACGCATGAGTTGCGCAATCGCTCGAAGTATGAATAAATAATCTGTGATTGTCGTAAATGGTAATGTCAAGAGCAGATTCTTCGACTTGGCCGCATTATACTGTCTAAGGACCTTCAACATCTTCTCGCGGTATTCATCATTTGCGACCACACTTCCATCAGGACCTTCGTGAAGGAAATCGAGAAAACAATCCGTGGCATGACTATAATGGCGTGAATATGGTTGAAGACTAAATTGACGATGGAGAAAGATAACCGCGTAGCCTGATTCCAGGAAATATTCAGCAGAAGTAGCCCCACGCGTGCCAGCACTAAAATTGTCTATAAATCGCACCGTCTGTCGCTCTAATGGAACAGTCGTTCCTCCTGATGTGACCAACACCACACGTCTGCCAGCAGCGGCGTGGGAATTGATGAATTCTTCCGCAAGAGCGGTATGCTTTTCAAGGGTCGCTGGTGGAGGATTTTCCGAAAAGTAATCCCGTTCTGCGATTTCCGCGGTGTTGTCTCGTGCCAAGCCTGGCATGGAGCTAGATGTCGACATGGTATCTTGTGAGCTAGAAGAAAAGATTGAGGAAGTCGGTGATGAAGGTCGCGGACTTGAGAGGTTGAAGGAAAGTGTGAAGGTCGAGCTTGATGGTGGGGTTGATATTAATTTTGGGGATGTTGCGGGGTTCGTGAGGCCCTGTTCAAAAACATCTTCAATAGGTGTTATAAGCTGCGACGACATTTTATCAGTATTCTATTAACTACCCATAAACCTCTTGAATGCGTACCGACGACTTACCTTTATAATACTGACTTACAAGCAATTTGAAACTCCGGCTTTCCTCTTGACCTCGGTCGGCGGTTGTGTCGGAGGTCTGTTTTGGTAATTCGGCGTCCGGACAGAGGACCCACGTGGGATTGTTAAGATCATCCCTACATTTTACAATACTAGTTTTAAAGGCCAAAGAGCCATCTTTCTACAATCCAACACTTGTGGAAAGCTGACGATACCGAAGTTGTACGCAACTTTGCTTTGGCGTTGGTGAGGCTTTGCGTGGAGGAAGCTGTGATTGTCATTGGACTTTGGACATCTGCAAAAGTCGGTCTGAAGTCTATGAACACAGCGTCTCATGTCTTTGTATGTCGACGTGAGATATTGGTACAACTCATGATGAAAGGAACTTCCTCAAAAGCGTTCAGGTCCTTCCTACTCAGCTCCGGCTGACAAGCGGTCTCGGACGGATGGAATTACTGCATAGATCGCATTCTAGATGACCAGCAGCACACTTCATTGTGTAACAAGTAGCTCGAAATCTCACACCATCAGAGAGTCCCTTTGGTGGTCTCCAAGATAATCATTATGTGGACGTAGATGCAGCATCGCTATTAATAAGTTCATTTCTATCTTCATGCTTGCATAGCTATTCATAGATACCGTTTCTCGCTGCCGCCTTTCATTCCTCTCATTGTCAAACAAAAATACATGTCTAATCTACAACTTTTACATATAACTGCATTTCTTGCCGCCCGTCTTATCTTGCCGCCAATTAGTTACTGCCCTCACTGATTCTCCAAGCTCTTAATGGTAGAGATTGTAGTTTCAGAGCTGCTGGTTTGATGTATCCCCAAAATGTAACAGCTCCAAAAATGATACAAATAATATTCACAACATAGTATCCATCTCTCTCGATGTCACAAACGCCCCCTCCGGACAAACATCGATCTTTCTCGGCAGCCAAGGCGCAGGAGAAGGTAGATGTAACGAGAGGCCCCTTGAGATCAGCAGCGAGTTTATAATCAGATCCTGGTGGAATACATGTTGCAGTTGTGAAGTAATCAACAAGCTTAAGGACAAAGAAACGAGGGAATGTACCGCCCAAATTGGAAACGCTGCTTGGTGTTAGTGAAATAAAATTTGAAATTTGAAATAGGGGTGCTTACGTAGCGAGCAATGTCATATAAGTTCCGCCAATGACAGGATCCGCAATCCTGGCATGGAAAGCAGAGATGGCCACAAACATAACAGTATTGGTAAATGTCGAGAAAATATGTTCCGCAATAACAACAAGTAGATACCAAGTATCGACTCCGTTGGCGGGAAAGATAATAACCGTGATTTGAGCAATAACAGCAGCAATCAAACGACCAACAAAGCCCCAACACCACAGACGTAAAGGTGTGTAGGATGTCGACCATTTTCCGGCGTAGTACCCCAGCCCTATCTCAAAAGGGAAGTCAATAAGAACTGTCAAGGCCATATCTTCTTGACTGAATCCTTTGTCTATGAGTTTGAGGTTCGTAACTCCATCATTAGCTTGGAAACCTATCTTTGCAATCAAGTGAATGATGATGATCGTTTGAATATTCTTGAGCTTGAGAACTCCCCACATAACCTTGTAGACATCCCAGATTCCATCCTCGTTCTTGGTTTTCTCTTCACGCTTCAAAAGCGCTAGGCCGAGAGTAACAATTATGTATGTCCAACCCCAGAATGTGAGGTATCCTCCCAAAGTCATGACACCTTCGTCGAGGGGAGTCTTTCGGAACCATTTGTTGGCAAAATCAGGGGCATTGAAAGCTAGAAAAACTGTGAATGACATGAATTGTCCAGCTGTCAATCCGACGGTCTGGGCGGTCGATGCGTATGAAATGTTTCCCGGAGACAATAAAGTAAGAGCCCATCCGTCGACTGCGATGTCTTGTGTGGCGCACGTGAATACCAAAAAGAACCACCATCCAGTGAAACCCCAAATGCCTGCTCCATCATTTGCTCCAGCCGTGATCATCATCTCCTTAATCTGAGAACCCAGCCAAATCATTCCTAATCCTGATAGCATTTGAATCGGCATAATCCAACTCTTTCTTCTTCCTACTTTAGGACTCCATATTGCATCCACTATTGGACTCCAGAGGAGCTTCAAAGAGTATGGGTATGAAGCCAAGCTAAAAACTCCCAAAGCGCTGTACGACATATGTGGTTTGAGTAGAAAAGGTACTGAGCCGGTCGCGAGACCCATTGGAACACCCTGCAAGAAATATAATAGGACTAGAAGTAGAAAGTTCCGTTTGTCCTGCATTGGCAATTCGGAAAACCCATGGTTGTTGAGGGTAGGAGTCTTCGGTATAGGATCATCTAACGTAAACGACTCGCGCGACATGAGATTTGCAGTCACTCCAGGAGAGTCGAGGTTCGCATTTTTGCGCCGGTACTCGACGTTGCCATTCATACTGCCCTTTTGTGATTGAGAGTCTTCTCCTCTTGTGGCAGAGGAAGAGCCAAGTGGCTCTGGAACTTTGCCTTTACGAGAGCGAGTACCCATAGAATCCGTTTCAATAACCTCCTCGTCGTCGTCGTCGTCGTCTGTAGAATCCTGATCCCCGAGCAAATGCTTTGAGTCTTCTGCCCGTGTTGCGCCGTGTGTATTCAGATTCAAATGAGGTTTGGATTTAGATTTAGAAGAGGAAATGTTTCTGTGACGTGAAGAAGCTGCTGATAAATCGTCTAATTCTTGCGCGTAGGGAAATTGAGGATCGTGATGCACAGGTAGATGAGTGTGCCGTGGATTATCTGAAGAAGATTGAGAAGTCAATGAAGGAAGTGTATCACCCAATGGAGTAGGCATCCATAAAGTAATGTGAACTGAGAATACTCCAGAGGTCTTGTTGGCCTCTAAAGTGTCCTCTTTTATATTTTTACTCAAAGCTTTATTAGTTCCTTAGTGGTAGTTTGTACGAGATAGTGGATTGATTAAATGATTTAATGATTTAATGATTTAATGATTTAATGATTTAATTACTCAAGATCCCATTCCTGCGGCGAAAGAATCATAGCTAGGTATTTATTACATACACACAGGCTTTAAGGTTCGATTTCCAGGGTACGAAGGTGTGAGGGTGCTTCTGAAACGAAATGTGGCTTCTTCGGCGAACAACGCCGCTGAGGGAGAGACAGACTGTACAAAGGATTGGGAGAGAAAAAAATGTTTCGAAATGTCAAAGAGTTGCATTGAGTAGGAGAGAAGAGGGTGGAAGTGTGTGTATTGGTGTGCCAAGAGGTATATACCTCTTTACTTGACTTTATAGAAAAGGTCAAACGATCTACTATTGAGCAGTGTTTTACTTACTAATTATACTGGTGTACCTAGATAAATAGATAGATGGATGGATATATGATCAGAAGCATGAGAATTGGAAAGAGAAGTCTGGGCTGGGCTGTGAATTGAGGGTAATCAAATGCCTGAAATGCCTGAAATACCTACCCTAGTAAACAATACTGCCACCGCAAAACACGTGAAATAGCGATGAAATGACATGCGACGTGACAAACATGAAAATCAACATAAACATCAACATCAACGAAGATATCAACTACAGAGTGAAAAACAAACATATTTCCGACAGCGTATCATACACATTGATACCTCCACCACGGATCATGAGAAGTTCACGCTCTTCCCCACAATCTGCGGGCTTCAATTCGAATTCAAACATGGACATAACAGAAGAAATTCTTAGTCCTCAAGACGCGGCTGGCATAGAATTGGACAATGAAATAGCTTCACTACAGGAGCAAAGTGAATCTCAATGCTCCATCTCACATTTATCATGAACTATAGCTAATCAACCTATAGTCACCTCATTAAAAGATCAACGCCGCCTTCAAACAGCTACTATCCTTTCCTCTCAAGCTTCAAAATCCATTTTGTCGAATTTGCGAAAGTCTTCCTCTAAAACGAAACCTGCCCAATTTACTACTCCTATAGACTCCGATCCACTGCTTGCGACTTCCGCGGCTCAAATAACTCATAATCTTGAGAATCTATATCGCGCATGCGCATCAATCACATCCTTCCAAATTCAAGATCCGGACCCGAATGCTGTAGACAATGGGCATGTGTTGGGACTTCGAATTGAAGCCAGCAGTGCTGGGAAGTTTGTTCGACCTTATTATATAATGTTAAACAAGCCATATCCAGGATTAACAGCACTAAGAATACATCGACACACAGTGCCTCCATGTATCCCTTTGGCTAGCTTGGCCGCGAAATATTTGCCTGCTCCTAAAGTCGCTGAGGGGGTCGTCAAAGAGAAACGACAAGATTTGACTGCATTTGTACGGAAATTACGACGAGAGATTACAGGTTATCATTTACGTATCGCATCCATTAAACATTTACGAAAAGGGTTCTCTTTGGATGAGGAATTAAGCAGGAAAGGGAAAGAAAAGGAGCGAGAGATAGCAGATATCAGTGCTGCTGATGCGGAAGCAAAGCAAGTGAGGATTGAGTGGATAGATGGAAAGGTTGGTAGATGCGTTGTAGGGATGAATGGGGAAGTCGTCAAATGTGTCATAATCGGAGAGGATGGGCGTGATCGTGAGACGGAAAGAAGGGTAATGGGCGGAGATAAAAGAATGGAGGGAATCGCTGACAGATTGATGGAGGGTATGTATTGAGAGTTTTGATTTGAGGTTGGGGCTGGGGTTTGAGGAGTTGATTGTTTATTGTTTATTGTTTACAAATACCCCCGGGAACTTAGGCGGCTCTGCACCACGGCACCTATCAATTTTTATCGCAGTTGCTTCTTTCGACCAAGATTAATACGATCTATCGCGTCAATGAAGTATATATCCCTGAGCTGGAACGTAAGGTACTCACTGAGTGATAGTGGTACGGGCTTGGAGGCCAGCCGACTTACTCCAAGCACCAGATACCATGAAGATAATTCAGTGAAATAACAGGGCTCTCTTAGAGATTCTAGAAGGCGCTCTATAACACACTATTAGCGAAGTTTCGGCTGGCCTAACTTAAAAAAAATTGACTATTCTTGATGTGAGCCAGACTTGAACTTTGATGATGCGCACATAGTTGTATGTGATTTGTAGCAACTAAATGAAATTTTCGCTAAATATTGAAACAGCAGGCATCCAGCTTCACACGCGCGCCCACAGCTGATCGACACTCATCAATCAGTGCACCACCACACGCATCGCGCTGTCAGTACGTCCTCCTTCGCTTCAGTTTCAGATCCTATAGGCCAGAGGGCAAGCTGAGGTCGATGAATGAACTAGAAAGTGAGATCACGTGATCGTTACTAAACTGATCCAATAGCTCAATCCCAAGCTGCACAAACTATTCCATATTGGTGAATAATCTATCGAGTCTTTCATCAACGCCATTTTTTCCTTTTATTCTGAAACACTCGCTACCGTATATGGTTCATTTTCAAGTCTTCACTCTCATCCTGTGATGCGCGCGGGTAACAAGTACTGGACCTGCTCCACTTTCCCTCTAATTCCTTCAATTTTCAACAAGGGAGAGGGCTTTTAAGAGGCCCAAGCTCTAGATAGCTTACTTCTGCGGCAAGGTGAGTTTGTAGGAAAGCCAAACTTCTACTACACATCGTGCCTTGAGATCCTACGTACAAGAGCTCACCCCAAATTCGACCATTCCTATGCTCCAACCATTGGGAAATCTCCATTTGAGTCCAGACCAATCTCATCAATGAGTTGCCTCGAAGTCTCCACTCTCAAGTGAGTAAAGATTCAAGCTCAAAGTTCACCCTTGAATGACTGCGAGGAGAGGGACGATGAAATGCAATCAGCCTTATCTATTTATGAATGCTGTTGGTAAGGGAAATCTGCCGCCAGGCCTTCCATAACGCATTGCCTCCAACAATCAAGGCATTATTTGTATCGGCCTTGACTTTCTGAAAGATGCATTTCATGCTTCCGATCTCCACTCTTGTGATAATGGCAGGAAGAAACCCATCATTACGCGCCGTATGGATGGATTCTGGTCAACGACCCGGGTATCATGTATGATCGCAGTTCTAAGAAGTAGTTCTTCGCGCGTATGATGTCGGTTCGTACAATTTAATGATCTTGGAACCTTGAATCGTTGTTCCTCTCTTTTGTCTTTTCTTGCTGCTTAGAATTCGGCCGTCACTTTCTCTACCTACATTCCACACTCCTATACACGGCCGTCTTGAAGGCCATTTATTAAGATAGATACAACAACTTCTACTTCGCCGTCAATCACATCATCAGCCGATATTATAATGCCAACAAGTATGATAGAAACCACTGTATTGAATACACAATCGACGACTTCATCGCCATCCGGATCCAGCCCAAATTCAACAACAGATTACCCTTCTCTAAACATTGCTATAGGAGTTGGGATAGGGGTCGGTATGGCATTGGTTCTTTTGATCGTTGCATGTGTCCCTGTGGTTAAATGGTGGAAACGACGCCGACAGGCTGCTCATGGACAATTTCAATATAATCATCAAACGCCATCACATCAGTCTCAAAATCAATATCAGAATCAATTCCAGGTGTATCATCAGCCACCCCGGGATATACAAGCTCCCTACTTTTATCCAGAGGCAGCTGGCGCCAATCGAACTTCTACGAGTGGGTGTCCACCAGGCTTTCATCTAGAAACGCCAGATAGTACTTTTCAAACTCCAGTTAATAGACTACCAAATTCCTATCCAGAGGACGCCGATAGTGCTTATCGAAATCCTTCGAATAGATATACCCCAAACTATTTTCCAGAAGCAGTGGGAGTGAATCAAATGTCTACAAATAGATTTCCGCCAAACTATTTTTCGGGGGCAATTGGAGCGGATCAGAATTCTCCGAATAGCCTTCCACCAAACTATTCTCTGGAGGCAATTGGAACGAATCAGAATTCTGCGAATAGAGATCCTTCCACTTTTTATCCAGAGAGCGTCGAAAGAACCTATCAAAGTCCTACCAATAGACGTACAGCTGTATTTGAAATGAGTGATAAGAGACAGACTGATTCGTGGGTTAAAGAGATGATGATAGCTAATCAGGAAGAGCTATGGATGGAATCGCCCATACGATAGGATTCATTGAGGATACACGTCTCGTTCTATCGAGGATGAAAAGGTGGCTTGGAGTAGATTGCTGTTGTATATATCATATTTCTTTTGTCTTTACTACTGCGAAATTGTAATACATGCATTTAGCGATGGGTTGGGGAGTTGGGATGTTCATTCGCGAGGGGAAAGTGTTGTTGGAACGGGGATTATTAGATGGATGTGATAAGATACCCAGGGATGTTGAAAATATTAAAATACAATCAAATATAAAACTTTCTATGAGTCCCCTTGTGCATTTGGTTGATCCGTGTGCGTCCACTTTTCTAGTTACAGAGTAGCTTGAAGGGCTCGTTAGTGGTGCTATATTCATCTATGAAGACCGTCGATGAATAGAGACTATATTATTTTATTCGAAAACTCGTTACATTTCAGAGCGTTTAAGTGAACTCTACCATATGATTTCTAGTTCACTATCATCTTCAAAACGCTACCTATATCTTCATAGGAAGTACTTACATGTCCTCGAGAAATATACATCTCCCGCTCTCAATCCCAAACCTATGCAGGGACTCAACTACCTGTAGATGACTGATACTAGGCATACTTCGCGTTGTGACTTTATAGACTTGATAATATTAACACGGATCTAAAGATAAGGTATGAATTGTAGTGTTTCGTAGTTTATTCCATTCCATTCCATCTTCTTTGAGATCTTACGAGGACGAATTTGGAAGTTGGAGTAGTTTTTTTTTTTTAGTTTTTTAGTTTTTTTCATGCCTTTTGAAAGTGGTACTATAATTATAATTAGTACTTGAGTGTACTGGGTGGGAAGTTTGGAGGGGAGAGTGAAATTTTGAAGAAAGGAGAAAGGAAAGAATATAGATGTATGTTTCTAGGGGTTGGAAATTTCGATGGGAGGATTAGATTGGGGATTGGGAAGAATAGGATTTTGAGGTTTTGGTTGTATGTTTATATGTTTATATGTTTATATGTATTGTGAGATGATGTGGGTGTGAGTATGAGTATGAGAATGAGAATGAGAAGAGAAGTAGAAGAGATATGTAGGTATCTTTTCATGGCTCGAGAGTTGAAATGGTATTGTACTGTATGAGATTGTATTTTAAGAAGAAATCGAATGGCACAAGTCATAAATGAATAAAATATATATATATAAACCCGAAGACTAAAACAAAAGGATTATAAAATTCGCGGTATATTGTTTCTAGGCCATCGAGAGGATAAATCACTGTCGGGAATTGGGAAATGAGAAGTGGGTAAGTTGGGTAGGAAGATGTATGATTGATTAATTATCTAACATGGTTTATCATCGAGTGGCCTATATCATCAAGTGGCCTATTTTCATCTCAATTTACACTTTCAAACCCATATTATTCAACAATAATTGAATCAATTAATTAAAACTATTAAGAATCTAATAATTTAGGATCTATTATATTATTTTGATAGATTCTTATATTATATTCTGTCTTTTTGTATTTATTATAATATTAATTAGAAGATACTTTCTTATTAGAATTCTCCTCTTTTTGATATTTATTATATTGAATCTGAATATTAACCTTTTATTGAAATAATATATTAAAAGTCTTTTATTTAATGAGTATTCCTCCTTAATATAATTAAGTTTTTTTTGTATGTTGATATTTGTTTAATATCTTATTTGCTATTTAAAGTATACAATTCTTTATATTTAAAAGTATATTCTTATAAGCTAATCTCTTTATACTTTTAATTAAAGTTAGTATAATTTCGAATATAGATATAAGAGAGTTTAATTGATAATAAGTTATTTAAGATTTAATTAATATTGATTGAGAAAGAGCTTTTATTAGGTTGTAAAGGGTTTGAGAGATTTATTAATTTAGATTGAAAGAGAGGAGGGTAGATATACGAATTTAAATATTTAATTTCGAGAATACAGTTTTAGGATTAAATGGAATTAAATCTGTTCTTTAGAATTCTAATTTCATATTCTAAAAAGTAATTGATTTCTTATATATAACTTTAAAAGCTATAAAGAATTCAATCTTTGAAATATAATTAATATATACCTTAATAAATCTATCAATTTGATTATTATATAAACATTTTAGATTATTGAAATAGTTAATATCAAATAATTGAGTTAAATGATTTGAATATAATAGTAAATATAAATATATAATATTGTTCTCTTTGTAGTATATTTGAAAAGCTATTAATTTGTAACTTTTATGTTCATTTAGTATCAATATTCGATATTTACTCTTTTTTTGATTTTTAATATACTTATCAAAATGTTTCAATTATTTTAAACCTATCTCATTATTCGTTTATTTATTAGATATAGATTTAATAGCTTATTTTATAAAAAGATTCGTTTTAATATATCAATTGAAAAAATAAACTTGTTCTTGAATTATTAAAAATAAGAAAATAATTTCATTCTCTTCATTTCCATATATTATTACTATAATCTATTCTCGATTACCTAATTGTACTATCTTACTTCTACTATTTCGTTTAATATTAGTTACTATTATTATTATATATATAATCTCTATTATAAAGTCTATTTCATTGAAATTATAGAAATCTCTATTTAAAATACTATATTTCGCTTATATATTTATAATTAATTGAAATCATTCTTTAAAAAACTTAGGATTTTTATAAAGAGCTTTTTGAAAGTTATAAACATAATTAAAATATATTTTTAATTCAATTCAATGTTTTACAAATCGATATACTTAAAGCTTTTTAATATATTTCGTACTTTTCAATTCAAGAATATTATTCATTATATCTTTCATATTCTTTAATTTAAATAAAAATCCTTTTAAATCTATATCAAATATATATTGAACAATCATTTTTTCTTTTAATTCTATAATTTTATAATAATTCGTTTAAGTTTCTATATAAAGAGGTAAACCTTTTATTTTATATTGAAGAGTTGTATAAGGAATATTATAAAGTATAACAATCTTTCGAATACTTAATTTTTTATTTTTATAAATAGCTTCGATAATAAGGAGTATATAAGCTTCTTGATTATTCGAATTCATTATAGATTGTTAATAAAACACATATTAAAAGAGACAGGTGTAAATTGAAATGAAAGTGGGCCACTCGATGATATAGATCACTCGATGATAAACCACGTTATGGTATTTTACTAATATTAAATAACATGATTTATTAGTGTGTAGGTTATATTAGTGTATAGATCATTTTCATATCAATTCACTTTTTCAAACTTATATTATTTAACAATTATTAAATCAATTAATTAAAACTATAAAAATTATAATAATCTAAAATCTATTATATTATCTTAACAAGTTTTTACATTATATTCAATCTTTCTATATTTATTATAATATCAACTAAAAAATACTTCTTTATTAGAATTCCTCCTTTTTTAACATTTATTATATTGAATCTGAACATCAATCTTTTGTTAAAATAATATATCAAAAGCTTTTTGTTTAGTAAATACTCCTTAATATAATTAGGTTTTTTTCATATATTAATATTTATTTAATATCTTATTCACTATTCGAGATATATAGATCTTTATATTTAAAAATGTATTTTTATAAACTAATCTCTTTATATTTTTAATTAAAATTAATATAATTTTAAATATAGGTTCAAAGAAGCTTAATTGATATTAGATTATTTAAGATTTTATTAAAATTAATTGAAAAAAAGCTTTAATTAGATTATAAAGAGTTTAAAAGATTCATTAATTTAAATTAAAAGAGGAAGGGGTAAATATACGAATTTGAATATCTAATTTTGAAAGTATAGTTTTAGAATTAAATAGTATTAAACCTATTCCTTGAAATTTTGATTTCATATTCTGAAAGATGATTGATTCTTTATATATAATTTTAAAAGCTATAAAGAATTCAATCTTTAAAATATAATTAATATATGCCTTAATAAATCTATTAATTTAATCATTATATAAATATTTCAGATTATTAAAATAATTTATAATAAATAATTGAATTAAATGATTTGAATATAATAGTAAACATAAATATATAATATTGTTCTTTTTATAGTATACTTAAAAAGCTTTTGATTTATAGTTTTTATACTTATTTAGTATTAACATTCAATATTTATCTTTTCTTCGATTCTTAATATACTTATTAAAGTATTTCAATTATTTTAAATTCATCTTATTATTTATCCATTTATTAAATATAAATTTAATAATCTAATTTATAAGAAAATCGATTTCAATACACTAATTAAAAAGATAAATCTGTCCTTAGACTATTAGAAATAGGGGTATAATTTCATTCTTCTCATTACTATATATAATCACTATAGTATATTCTTTATTACCTAATTATATTATCTTACTTCTATCATTTTGTTTAATACTAATTACTATCATTTTGGAACATATTATACCTATTATAAAACCTATTTCATTGAAATTATAAAAATCATAATCAAAAATACTATATTTCACTTATATATTCGAAATTAATCGAAACTATTTCTCAATAAACTTAGAATCTTTATAAAAAGCTCTTCAAAAGTTATAAACATAACTAAAACATGTTTTTAATTCAATTCAATACTTTATAAATCGATATATTCAAAGCTTCTCAATATACTTTACACCTTTCAATTCAAGAATATAATTTGTTATATCTTCTATATTTTTTAATTTAAATAAAAATCCTTTCATATCTATATCAATTATATATTCAAAAATAATATTCTTTTTTAATTCTAAAAAATTATAAATTTTAAATCGATATTCGGAATAGAAAATAATATTATTAATTTTATGTTGTAATATTATATTCAAAATATTATATATTTTTACAATCTTTCGAATACTTATTTTTTGTTTTTTTGAATAGCTTCAATAACAAAGAATATACAAACTTTTTAATTATTTGAATTCATTATAAATTGTTAATAAAAATATATATTAAAAAAGAAAAGAGTGAATTAAGATAAACATGATCTACACACTGATATGACCCGCA